GGCCCCCGGCACAAAGGCTCCTGGTCTTGGCTCCGACGCCGAAACGCTTCTCCTGGGCCAGGGCCGGGAGCTGGCGCTGGGTGTCCCGAGGAGGGAGGGCCGACCGCAGCAGAGCCGAGCTGCTCCCTCCTCCAACACGGCCACCGCGCGGCCACCCTGTCACCGAGTCCATGTCTAAACATCCGATTAAAAATTAAAAAACAAAGGGTGGAAAATCCCCCCCCACCCCACCCAACCCTGCGGGGAATTCCTGACGCCAACCAGCTCGCCCCTAAAGGCAGCTAAATAAACCCCCGCTCGCTCAGCCTGTCGTTTACAACCCACGAGCAAGGGCACGTCTCGCCGAGGACACCCCGCGTGGCTCTCCTCGGAGGATGTCAGCACGCCGCATCCCTCGCGCCGTCTCCCTCCCTCTGGCCCCAGGGAAACCCAGCGCACCCGCCAGCGATTTTAAGAACGGGAACGTCTCACGCAGCCCTCTGCGAAGGGGAACAGACCCTGCGCGCATGTTCCCATCGCCGACCCTGCTGGATCTGTCCAAACATAAGCCCCCGTGCCTTATCAAAATTAGATCATCGCTTCTATTATTACTTTTTTTACATTAAGCTACATCTGCATAGAATTATTTCAAGACAAAGCCACACTGCACGTTTTAAACCCCCTGTCAGCTAGCTTGAACTCAGCACTAAGTGACACCTCCTCCTACAGAGTCCTCCGAAAGAAAACACGTAGAAATTAGGTAAAACAATAACACATAAAACAATGCTAATAAGTTATGGGTCAGAGTTAATTCAATAAGAATAACGTGCTTAGCTTATTTATTTTATGGGCCTTTGTGGTTTCCTTAACTCTCAGTACCCAGCTTATTAAGCACTTGGATTTTGGAAGTGATGAGCTACACAAATATGCTGCGGTCACTTAGCAACCTCATCTTCTCTTCCTCTAACCCCCCTAAACAAAGGGATTTTGCTCTTGGGATATTAAACACAGATGCAAGTACGCGCACGTACTGCGGCTGAACGCGCCAGCGCTGCTCTGCGCGTCGACCGAGCGCACCGGTACGCGGCAGGCACGCGGGTCGCCGGCTGAACATGTTTCACTGCCTTTTCACCCAGTACCCCCCGAGGAGGGTGCAGAAGAGTTTTAGGAAGGATTCTGCTGTACGAGCACACATGGAGGACGGCTCGAGTGAAGCCCTGAGCTCGGATGCACGTGGGCTTTGGACCTGCTCTGCACGGCCACCCAGGCCTTCAGGGAGCAGCGCCGTCGCGGGACGCTGTTGCGCTCGCCGAGGCTCAGCAGCCAGCCTCAAAAGCTGCTGACAGCCCCAGGGCGCAGAACCAACTCGACCCATCGACTCTCCTGAACCAGGCCTGAACCCAGGAGTCAAGCAAGGTCAGTGACAGCCCAACGGCATCCCCAGGACGGGGCTGCGGTGAACTCACCCATCTGCATCCTGGTAGTTCACGTTCAGGCGCTTGGCAGATCCCAGGAGCTCTGCAGAGAGAAGAGGAGAGCGTCAGGGGAGGGGAACGGGCCCTGCAGCCCCGCACGGGCGAGCGGGACACCTCACACGTGCCGGGGTGCGTCGGCAAGGAGGTGGCTGCAGCAGGCACACCTCCTGCCTGCCCCGCTCCTTCTAGGAGACCAACAACGGGGTGCAGAGACCTCACCGCCCGTGTGCCGGAGACCCATTCCCCCAGTGCGGTCTCCGTTGCACAAACCAGCCCCAGCTCGCCGCTGGCCACACCGACCTGCCAGCGCGCAGAACAGCGCCTGCCCCATCCCGACGGTGCCTCCTTGCTCTCCGGCCTCTTGCCCTTCACCTCCACACACCCTCCAAAGAGCTGACCCAGGTCTAGCTCAGATGCTTTTCCTCCCTCTGTCCTTTGTGCCCCAGCAGCCCCGTCCCTGCGGCCCCTCACGTCCCCCTGCCCGGGAGGGGACGGGCTGCACAGCTCCCATCGCCCCAGTCTGTCGGGATGGCACCTCCGTCCCCCCCTCGGGGGACGCTCCCGTTTATAGCCAGCAGCACCCTGGACGTGCTGAGTAGGGACGTTTTGCTCCCCACTCGCTGCTCCTCGCCCTGGCTGCTGCCAAGGACTGGCCCACAAAGCAGATGGTTGGCATTTTTCCGGCTGGGGCTGAAGGCTCAGGTCGTGAATGCGAGGATTATGCCATCCCAGATATTCCTGTCTCCTTGTCCGTCCCTCCCTCCTCGTCGGGGGACCACTGAGTGGCAGAGGATGCTCAGCCCACCCTCGGCACACACTCACGCGCGCACGCACGCGCGCCTCCGCTCCCTGCTCTTTCCCGCAATGAATTCAAACGAATTCTTTCCTCCCACACAGAGAGAGGACGTTTTATTCTCCACCGAGGGGTTGAGAGCGGATTAACATCTCTGGAATTCAAGTGCTAAGTGAAAAGGGAAAGAAAGGAAGAAGGTATGCGGGGGGCAAGAAATGCCATCGTTTCTCCTCTGCTTTTCCAGGCAGCCCCATCACCAAGCCTACGAGAACTAAAGGCCTTGGCAGGCTCCTATGCTGCTTCCTATGGGATACTGCAGTCCTACAGCCAGCCAGGCTCTAAGCTCAGGGTGAAAAAGCCGGCTCAAACCCCCTGAAACTTGCGGGTTACTGGAGAAAGAACCTTCTCGCTTGCAGAGCTGGGCGTAGCTCCTGGGTCCGGCTTTGTGTCCACCCTTCCTCCTCCTCCTCCTCCGTTTCTCTTTTCCTCCTCTCACATCTCTGCCCATTTTGCACTCAGGATCTCATACAAAAATCAGGATGTGCTGCGTGGCCAGAAGGATACGTGACCCTTTCTACCGGAAATGCGAGCCAAAGAGGGGGCCGGCTCATTTATTATGCAAGTGGATAATTAAAAGGAAACCAAGTAATGGTGTGTTCATTACTGCAATTTAAAATGTTTTGTAAACAAGCTAATTAATGCAAAATGGTCTTTGAGTGGCTCCTGGTGAAGGATTTGTGACTTAGTCACCGCAGCAGAGAAGATCAGGATGGGATCACCATAATCAGCTCTTCCAGGGACTTTTCATCTTCAAAGCACGAGGCAAACACAAGCGAGCAGCTCCATGCTGCGTTTCGGCTACGTCAACCCGCAAAGTCCTCCCCGAAGGAACCTGCTCCCTGGGGACCGTTGCTCAGCGTCAGTGACGAAGCGGCGCTCTCGCTTTTTCTTTCCAGCCCGTTATCTCCTGAAAGCTGAAGATCTGGGTTCCCCGTCAAGGAAAAGCAGCTTCCCCGGCCCCGCGGCCAGGCTCACTATCAGATTGCACAAGTGCTGCCAAGCCGTGGTGCACCGGCATCCCCGACGCTGGAGCACGCGAAGGAAAGCAGCGCTGGGACGGGCTTTCTGACGCCAAGCGGGGTCCGTGGGCCTGCCGCTTAGGAAAAAATAACATTTCACTTGTAAACCGGCCACTTCTGAGTCACGGAGAGACAATAAACACCAAACCCCATGGTGCCTGTTTTACAGAGTCATTTTCTGAGCCAGAATTGCACTCTGAGTGTACCGTGGAGCCAGGAAAGTGCTCCGCTTCAGTGGGAACAGACCTCCCCCTGTCCCTCTCACAGCCTTGGGACTAATCCTGCAACAAGTGGGCAGCAGGAAGGGCTGAGCAGTGTTGGCTGCCGTGGCATTTCCAAAGGACGCAACTGAGATGAAATTAAAGAAGAAATCAAGGGTTCCATTACTTGTATTTACCAACATCATCTTAAATGACTCAAACTGAATCCCAAACCAGCGCTGCCCGGTGTCATGGAAATGCCCATAAATCCGTCATTTCCTGTACCCTTAACAGCAGTGGTTTTGGCTGGAAGCAGAGGGACGAGGCTGGTCAGGAACGATTTCTGGTTTTCACGCCACGAAGGACAGCTTCCTTGCACCGCGGAGAGTTTAGCCCTCGCGGCACAGCGTAGCGTGAGCAGCAGCGGTGCATGGAGCAAAGCTTTCAGGCTGGGCCTCCGGCATGTCTTTTAATCAATTTATAAATGCTTTTTTTTTTTTTTAATTTAAGGATGCTCTATGCAGTAGGAACTCAAATCCAGAGAGGAGAGCTCAGGCTGCATTTCTTGCTTGGGAAGCAATGGGAGATGCCCACCCATGAGAGCCGGGAGGCTAAGGTGAGCCAAGGCGTGACAGTGCGACCACCAGAAACACATGGGAAGCAAACAACCAGCCCCAAATGGGGTGAAAAAACGCTGCTTCTCTTTTCACCTTTCAGCAGACTGTGTCTGGAGGAAAACCCCGGTGGAACTGGCTGTGGCGAGACGTTCCCGCGGGCCCACGGCCCGCAGACGGCTCTCCCCAGAGGCTCCTCGGAGCCGGAGCCGGGCAGCCGATGCTGGGAAGAGAAGGGATGGATGCCAATGTCCACCGAGCACGATCGTATCCGAAACAGGCAGAAACATCCCAACAGACTGCTCCCTGAGTTCAGCAGTGCCCACCTTTCGAACGGGGAGAGCTCGCCCTGAAATCTCAGCCCCGACCCTTTCCAGTGAGGGCAGCGGCCTGGACCGCCGGGGCGGCCAGCAGGGAAAGGTTTCCCGGCCTCCCTCCATCCCTCCCCGAGGAGGCAGCTGTCAGCAGCCGTAAAGCTAAATTCCTGCCTTTTAACTCCTCTCACCAAGAAACATTCCTCAAATTAGTTCCTCGCCCCGGTGGCCCAGCGAGGTGCCATCCTCCCCGGAGCCATGCCGGGGCAGGACAGCCTCTGAACGCTAAATCCCAGCTGCGGGATGAAGGCGCCGGAGAGCCCGCAGGCCTGGTTCACGCTCCCTGCTCCTCCCTGCTCTCCTCGGGAGCAGCCTCACATCCAGGAAAGATTATCCCAGAGCCAAGACCAGAAAAAAATGAGGACCCGACAGCCTCGCTCCCTCGTGGAGACCGACCAGCAGCGAGTGCCCTGTCACCCTGACGTCTGCGCTAGGATTGCTCAAAGCACCCGGGGACTGAAACGGAAAAGGCCCAGGAGGCGCCAGGAGGAGCCGAAAGAGAGAGGGACCCAGGCTGGGAGACGGGAGACAGCCCCTGGGCTCAGTCGCGCCAGCAGCCCTAGAAACCGCCAAGATTTCCAGGGTAAAACAAGGCTTTGTACATCCCAGGGAGCCT